TAACTGATTGGTGTTGGAGTTAATATGCATATTTTACGTTTCCCCTATCTGATTACAGAACAGGTGGGGTTCATACCCTAGTTTTCCTGACGGGTGTTTTCGCGGCGTCGAGCAAAAGATTATGAAACTGACCGGTATTTGATGGCCTTATTGTCAGTGGAACCGGCCAGTAGGTGGTTCCGAGACCTTTCTCCACTATAAACGACTCTTTAGCAATAGGTAGCTTATTGAATGTTCTGGGGCGTCGTCTTCCTTCCAACTCCCTCTTAAGCATTTCATCCATTGCAGGACTTATTTCCCCACGTTCCAGAGCCCTTTGTCTCAGTCGTCCGAGTTGCCTATTTAACCCTCCCCCAGTATGTAAGCCTATATCATCACCTTTATATGTTTGGGCTGTAGATACACCTTTCCTGGCAGTGTAGTGGTTACCTGGTAATCTGGCCCCGTGCTGGTTGACTGACAATCCACATGTCGGCTGTGTGCCGCTCGACCACGTGAACGGCGTCGATAATAGCCACCTGTGCCTTGTAGAGTTATGTAAATACATGGCTGACATGATTTGCTTGATATTTACTTTTTCTCACTGTGGAATGTATATCGGTTTCTATTATAAAGGAGTGCACCTGTACAGTATGATATCCAACACTTTCATGTGATATCAACGTACTATTCTGTAGCTATTTTTACGTGGTCGTAAACCTGATAATATCTAAATACCTAAATTTTCTATTTACATATTACATATCTTAGATTTTGAGCCCTCAGGCATAGCATGTATCCGGAGAATAGCCCTGTTTCTGGCATGGAATCATTCGTGCGAACTATTTGTAGTGTATTTATTTATGCGTGTATTTAGGAATAAATCTGTTCACACTCAAAAGACGAAAAGCCCAAATATTCAAAATGTGGTAATATAATATATATAAATACAACGGAAAAGTGATGAGTCACCACAGGAGGGACATATGCATTGGTTTGAAAACACTATGGATGCCAAGTTGGAGGGTTAAATATATGAATATATATGCTTTGGTTTGCATTCGTACATTTCTTGATAGAATACACACGTATACCCACGCATCTGCGTTCGTACAATTTTTTACCTTGACTAGATTTCTAATTCTTGCAAACTTTATTATGTCGTATGTATGCGTTTTCGACTTTTCTGGAGTACAGTAATTGAGATGTACCGTACATGCATTGTTTTTAGAGTTATATACTAAAACATGGACAGCAACATAGGTCAATCGTTTTTTTAGTTTCTGTAGTAGGATATGGTAGACGGAAACCTATCATTGAAAACAATAAATGTACACGATGATGCTAATCGAGAGCGTGTCAGACACACTGTGTGGAATCATGGTATAGTAAAGTGTTGCGTAGAAGCATCATGTAGTGAACCACGTATTGTGGTATCCGCAACCGAAAGACCTGATTGCCACGAAGGAAAAGGATGTGGATAATTATAATTAACATCAGAATCGTGCTGGTTAGGGTTGTAAAACAACCTGGATTAAACAATATCAACATCATCTGAGGTGCGATGCACTCGTTTAAGGTATGGTTTCAAACTGGCCTATTATATAAACAATTGAAGGAGCACTACAGCCGCGAATATAAGACTTTCAACTGAAGTACTGAAATATTTCCAGCGCGGACAAGATATAGACTTCGCGACAAGCCGAAATCTTCGTTTCGGAATAATTGTCCTTATTCGTGTTGCTCATCTATTCATATTTAGCGTGCATCAGTTCATATTTAAGATTAAAAGCACTTGCGGTGATTGATAGAAACAATCAGGCCCGTCGTAGGTCCTATCGGACCCATTGTCAAAAGGCTGCACAAGCTATTGCGCCATACTATAATTGGTAAATGAATGTGTTAGATTTATTAGTTCATCATGTCGCTAAGGTGATGCGTATACATGTGCATGATGACTGATACGGCCAGCAAGCCCACATCTGCTGCAGTGTAATTCAAGTGGTCGAATAGAGATTCGCTTTGTTCATCGTTCATTAACCAACCTCAAAGTATTCATACTTGTATTATTGGCTGCCTAGAATCTTTATAATGGTAGATACAAAAGCGGTCAACTCTATTCGATACATACGGCGATGCAGAGTATTCAATGGGTATTCGTTTGTCTTGAAAAGCGAGTTTTTTTTTTTAGAGAACAAACTCTTTTTCAATATGAGACTGTGCGTGTGCGGGTGTTTGTGATTTTTTGTGTGTACTACTCTTATCTCTAACCGAATCGACGATGAAATCAGCAGGTAACGACAACCATTTAATTCGTCAGAGTCTTTGCGCGCCATACCTCCGTGCTATGACCAAATCTATTTAAGAGTGTTTGTAAATTATACTATTTCTTTGTGTGTACCACACGCACTTCTAAAGCACGCCGAAAATGCCCAAGTATAATTTACTCAATAAAACGAAATGATGCATCTGTTTTCTTTTTCAGATTCGTTTGGGTACGAATTCTTCACACGTCCCAATCTCGAATATAGCCGTCATAAAAACTTGCGATGTAAAAACAACTAATCTACACCGTATGTAAGATTCATATTATCTAGCGTGAGAACAACGCAAGTCCATCCATAATACACCATATGATGATTCGTACCATTCTATCATGAAACATGTAAGTGCATCCTTTATGGATACATAGTAGTTTTCCCTTTTCCTTTTTTATTTTGCTGTCTTTGATTTTCACAGAAAATGCAAAGCCCTATGATCATTTGTTACGAAACGCGAGCAAGAATTTAGAAGCACTTGCGGTGAACAATTGAGGGACCAGACTCGTCGTACTCCTCCTTGGAGATCCACATCTGCTGGAAAGTAGATAGTGAGGCCAAGATAGATCCACCGATCCACACAGAGTATTTACGCTCTGGGGGAGCAATGATTTTGATCTTCATGGTAGAAGGTGCCAGGGCAGTCAACTCCTTCTGCATACGGTCGGCAATTCCGGGGAACATGGTGGTTCCTCCAGAAAGCACAGTGTTGGCGTATAGATCTTTACGAATATCAACGTCACACTTCATGATGGAGTTGTAGGTAGTCTCGTGAATACCACGGGATTCCATACCTAGAAATGAGGGCTGGAATAGCGCCTCAGGGCAACGGAAACGCTCGTTACCAATGGTGATGACCTGCCCATCAGGTAACTCATAACTTTTTTCTAACGACGAAGAAGTAGAAGCGGTCTGCATTTCCTGTTCGAAGTCAAGAGCAACGTATGCTAGCTTCTCCTTGATGTCACGCACAATTTCGCGCTCGGCGGTCGTGGTGAAGGAGTAACCACGCTCGGTGAGAATCTTCATCATGTGATCGGTAAGATCACGACCAGCAAGATCTAGACGCAGGATGGCGTGGGGTAAAGCGAAGCCCTCGTAAATGGGGACGGTATGAGAAACACCATCTCCAGAGTCAAGTACAATACCAGTGGTACGTCCAGAGGCGTACAGAGAAAGTACGGCCTGGATGGCAACATACATGGCGGGGGTATTGAAGGTCTCGAACATAATCTGAGTCATCTTCTCTCTGTTTGCCTTGGGGTTCATAGGAGCCTCAGTAAGAAGCACAGGGTGCTCCTCGGGGGCTACACGAAGCTCGTTGTAGAAGGTGTGGTGCCAGATTTTCTCCATATCGTCCCAGTTGGTCACGATACCGTGCTCAATAGGGTACTTTAGAGTGAGGATACCTCTCTTGGACTGGGCCTCATCACCTACGTATGAGTCCTTCTGTCCCATACCTACCATGATTCCTTGGTGACGGGGTCGACCAACAATGGAGGGGAATACAGCGCGGGGAGCATCATCTCCGGCGAAACCGGCCTTGCACATACCAGACCCATTGTCTACCACCAAGGCAGCTACTTCGTCGTCGCACATGATTTATAGTGAGGGGGCTTTCCAAGTGATTAATATTAAGGATCGGTAAGGCTGAAGTGTTTTGTCCCAGTGCATTCGAATATATAATATTTTTAGTTTTCTTCAGTTCAGTTTCTTCTACTACTTTCTACTGTTATAATATGCATACGCTTTCGCATATGTCTCTGAACACAATATTGTTCTGGCGCACATCGCTGTCTAACAATTTATCTATTCCACTTATCGCTGGACAGCAATAGCACAACGTAAGATATTCAGATAACAATCATTGCCTGTGTTGGTTGTCACACGATTACACATGAACGATAGAAACAAAATACGACGCATCCAGCAACCATTCTCACAAACAGGAATAGGAAGCATTCTGAACTGGTATGATAATTGTTGGATATTTTATCACAATTTACACCGATCTATTTGAGAGGCTTCGTGCCTTTTGATTGGAAGATTAGCGAATAATCGCGCGCATATCGGAAATAAATAGTTTTGTTTTCACTTTTCACTAAAAAGTTTAAAAGAAGCCCCTCATCAGTAGTAGAGTAAAGAAATGTGGCTGATCATAACTAGGCACGATCAAACAGAATGTTTTTAATATATAAAACTTTATCTCGCTTCAGTCTTCACTCCTCACGCAGTGACGCCTGTCAAATGTCATCATGCGCTCTCTTGTTGTGTGAACTATTTATTTATTTAGTGAAGTTTATATATATTATGCACATCTCCAGAGGAAATGACAAATACTATGTGCATGTTCCCCGATAACTAAAAGTTATAGCTCATTATTGTATTAGGCAGTGCGTGTCACACAGCGAGTGCATCATCTTTGATCAAATAGAATCGTGAAAGCTTCATACGGTTATCCCAGCGTATACGTGCACCCGTATGTGTGCTTCGGTAGTTGGCTGTTCGTCAGACGTTGAGCTTTTTCAAGTGATAGCTGTAGACGATAGCTACATAGAGAGTCAAATGTACAAAATCATTTCAGTAGTCTTATATCGAGTATATACTCTAGGTTAAATTAGGGACATTGCAAGCTACAGGCGACGAACGGCTGCAATATACAGCTGCTAATCCATCCAGTTTAGGTTCCATGACAATCATCGTCAATTGTCTGTTCACAATAAACGAATGCAGGCACTGAGAGACGTCCAGGTATGTGTACAAAACACACATGTATATGAAATTTTCCGTTACATAAGCATATGTATTAACGTGAACTATCTCGTTTAATGACCGCCTTGCGCTTCATCTTTTCAGGTATGCAGTTTATATATAAATTTGATTTAGAAATATACGCTTTACGCTGAGTCAATTTAAACTTTGCAATCAATCAATATATATATATATATATATATATATATATATATATATATATATATATGTGTGTGTGTGTTATATATATACTACTATACTACTACTACTACTACTACTACTTACTACTACTATACTACTAACTACTAACTAGTAAACTTAACTAACCGTTTAACGTA